CACGAATAAAGCCTGAGATAAAGGATAAAGGAAGCAGACTGGGAGGGAAGAATCAGCAACGACTCGTGTGTTTACATCACACCAGTCGCAGCAGTGGCGCGCGCGCGCGCGCGACCATGACGTTGCTTTCCAAGCTTCTCGTGTTAGATTAGCGAACATTCAAATGAAATGCACTGCTAGCAACTAGTTGGAATGTTGCGAAAATTAGACCTATCGTTTGGTCAATCATGTCATGGATATCGTTATTTCTCTTTTTTCCTTCTCAAGTTGAGATTTGAGGATAATGAAATGATGATATGAATTAGATTGGACCTCTTCACGGAGCATCGAGCAAAGTGGAGTGTAATTTAGCTGACTATTCGCGAGATGGATAATGTACCACAGTCTCGCATAGTATTGTTACTCGCCCCGTTATTCGCGCGAGCGTGATGTCTCGCGCAGCAATGAACGAACTCCTTACGCTCCTTACGACGATGCGACGTAGTATGCTTGAATAGTATGTGCTCGATGCTCGCGACTCAAAAGGTTCGTGTTCGTGTCGTTAGCGCGAGACATCAACCTCGGTAGAAGATTAGATTAGAGATTCGATCGTCCGTCGGAGTCAGCATCGAATCAGTCGTATGATTTCCGATCGATCGATAGCTCGTGATGAAATTACCGTGACTCGTGATAAAATTAGCGAGATAGAGATCCAGTTCCCGGACGGAAACGTTGATGTGATAAGGATTGACGCAGAGGCCTGGCTGCGCGCATTCCGCGGTCTTCTCTAGTCTTTCTCCGTCCGTCGATTCCAGTGGAATCGCCTTGAAAAGGATCACCATGACCAGATCCAGCCTCCATACCTGTCTCACAGAGAAATCAAACGGTTCATCATCGTTGTTCATTATCGATTAATTTGTCGACTGAGTGAAAGGCGACTTCGCATTTGAGAGAGCCCGGCCTAAATTGAAAGTAGATGGAAATTCGTACTCGGTGTATACCGAACGTACCTTGTCCGCCTGACGAAGGCAATCGATCCGACGCATTTTGCCCTTCTGATCAGGATTGCTCAAAACACACATGGCCGGTCTCTTGCCCGTGATACTCAGTACAAAGTCCTCCCGATATTCCTGCGTGATATCCTTCCGTAGCTTGCCGAGAAGCCGCGAGGCCCATTTTTGCTTTACTTCCAGCTTCTCGTTCTGAGGAACGAAAAGCATTGTAAATTGCGTAAAACACGAGACAAGCCGAGAGAGAGAGAGAGAGAGAGAGAGAGAGAGAGAGAGAGAGAGAGAGAGAGCGAGAGAGAGAGAGAGAGAGAGAGAGAGAGAGAGAGAGAGAGAGAGAGCGAGAGAGAGCGAGGGAGAGAGAGAGAGAGAGAGAGAGAGAGAGAGAGAGAGAGAGAGAGAGAGAGAGAGAGAGAGAGAGAGAGAGAGAGCGAGCGAGCGAGCGAGCGGTCCCTGTTACTTCATGAGAGAAGTCGAGGAAAAGAGGGAAGGAGGGTAAGAGCGTAACGTGCGATGGCGATGGCGTTTGCCTTTTTGTTTGTTTGCGGAATATCAACAATGCATCGACAATGCAATTTGACAATTTGACGGCGATAATTGGAACGGAGCTGCTCTTGTCTCTGCTGCTACTTGATGTTGCCGACGACTATCTATAGCCTCGATATACCTATCGAACGGAGCGTCGAGACCGTGTCACTCGTGTCACGTGACATTGATTTGACACGGTCAAAAAGTTTCCAACACATCGAGCTCGACCGCTCGACGGACGTTCAATCTGAAAATTTCGTCGAGTTTGTAAAGTTTGTACGTCCCGAGCGAAAATAGCGACTAGCGACAACCTCGCGAAGAGGGACATCTTTCGGCGGACGATATGCAGCGCACGCGTGCGACCCTCGTCACACTCGGAATAGCAAATACACGCATGCATAAGATCCCTGAGAAATGCATTGAAAGCGCGCGGAATGCATCGGAGTACCGCGTGCACGCGCGATCTATCTCGCCTAGTCCGTTTTGTCATGCACGTACGCACGTCTGCACTCGCACTTCGTGCAACTTGGGGACGACTCGACACTCGCGCGCGCGACTCGCTGGACTACCTCCTTCTCACCTGACACACCCAATCACACATTTTCTAAAAATCACGCAACATAAATTGTAACGCGCTGTTCGCGATTGTCGGGTCTGCCTGTACGCATGTGCGCAAAAGCATGTCAAATGACTAATGCCAGTCGTGCCATCAGAGCATCAAATGCATCTCGTGTAACATTCAACAATTGGCGATTAACAGGTGACACAAACAGGTGACATTTTGACAGCGATAAATTTGACAGCGATACATTCGCAATCGTATCGTTTGCCGCCGATACTTTTCATTGGCGAAAAGTCTAAAATCTAAAATCACAAGTCCCCTGTGTGTCGCCGCGTCACCGGTCACCGGTGGCGGTGGCGGTGACACGGGTGGGTTCCGATATTTCCACGCGAATAAAATGTCAAGCACGTTCTTGCACGCGCCCTCGCGCGCACTCGCGAATAAAGCGGATGAGAGCGTGGTGCGTGCCGGTGCGTGCACCGTGCATTCGCGGTTTGTTCCGATACTCCGCGCCACGTTGGAGAAAGCGTCGCTTACGGTGCATCCAGCCAGTGCATGCCCGATATCAAGTATGCCGAATGCGACTCTTCGTTCTTTAACCATGTTCGCGAGAATTGTACCGAGAGCGCGCGTATACCGTGACATGCGTACGCACCGTGTCACAAGGTGCGGCGCGGCGCGGCGCGGCGCGGCACGGCACGGCGCACAGTGTGCCGAAAGCCCCGAAAAGTGGCTAAAATTAATTATGGCTGAACCAGGAAGGTTAGCCAAAAACTGATAATTGGAAATAGAACTGTAGCATGAGGAGTCATTTTTCTCGTAAAAAGGAAGTTGCAAAAATCAATGTTGCAATGAATTGTTATAAACAAATAACTAAATAATAACTGTAGAGCAAAACTGATTACGCTACTCGATTCTACGGGAAAAAATACGAAAGTAACATAATAGCGTAATAACTAAATAATATTGACATATTGTTTAAGTAAATAACACGTATATTTTTGTTTTTATATTTTTTTATTTTTGTTTATTTTTTTTTTGTTTTTATATTTTTGTATTATTTTATGATATATAGTTATTCACCATGCAATAAAACTTATCTTCCAAAGTTGGAGCTGCTAACAATTGAAGAACTTCTGTAGGAAAAGGATCAGCTTTTTTAACAGAAGTTTGTTTGAAGGACGAAATGACAGGGTCTGAGGAAAGCAAAAGTCTTTTAAATAAATCCTCGTTCATTGCGATTCTCGATATTTTTCGGGTATGATATTCTCTTATATCTCTACAATCCTTATTCCTAGTTTCTTGAGCTTCCTCAGAAAGAAGACCAATCGGTAAAATAGATGCTGATATTATGCTAGCCCCATGTACAAGTAATTTATGTACAGAAGCGGGCATAAAGTACCAGCTATACAAACGGACGTATAGTTGAGCTATCTCATAACAATAGGTACCAAATTTATATACCAAATTTATATACGCGCTATACCCATTACCTATAAGGATTCCCATTTCTACCTAGGAGGAGATTTCTGTCACGGTAATAAAATAGTTATAAAATAGTTATAAAATAGTTATAAAATAGTTTATATATATAAAAACAAAGCAACAAAAAATGTTTATTTTATATAACCTTTAGCTTTTATATTTATAATTTTCATATTTATATTTTTTATTGTTATTTGTTTTTTATATTCATATTGTTTATGTTGTTTATCAATTTATGATTTGTTTATTTTACGTTGTTTAAAAACTACAATTTTCCCCGTAAATGTTCACGGTAAACATTTTTTGTCATATACGTAATATATATGTTAAATTTGTGTTAATGTTATGTACAGAGATGGTTCTGCTACATATATAAGCTTTGTTGCGTTTCAGATATGTAACAAAAGTCAGATATATAGCAGAAACATCTCTGTATATAACATTAAACATATATGTTACATATTCGACATAAAATGTTTACTAGGTTGCATTATTAAACAGTTGTTATCGCGTTCGAAATAAATAAAAGTTTAAAGTTTGTGGTTAATTGTTAGTTTAGTTTGCCAACGTCATAAATTTAACTAGAGTAAATTATTTTGGTCGACAATTTAATTTTGATATGAATCGGTATTTCTACAACTGAGAGGATTTGACCGTAAGTGTATAAGTATGGACCGCTGCTCATAAAATTTATCATATCTTTGTAACCGCTGGATACCGCTGTTTCTACTTCTGTATAAACATTAATAACATCCTACCTTTGTTTTGACAAAAGTACAACGTTGTGGCAGATCGTGAATTTTTTGTATGCCACGAAATAGATGATAGACAGTATATAAAATATAACTTATTTACATTTAATTGTTATGTGATATATATAAGACTTTCTAATATTATTTTCCTTGTAAATGAAAGTAAACGGATCAGATATTAAACAGGAAAAGTCATTTTGATCATGGAAACTTTTTCGAAGCAAAATCAGATATATCATTCTGAGGATTATAATCGTGCTATTTCTTACATCTCAATATATATAACTTTCATTCTACATATCTTCGTTATACAGTCGAATTCCGACATACTTTAACTACAATTGATTAATTTTGGACCTTCTCGAAAAATATACTGTAAAGGAGAACCAAAAATTACGATTTTCATTTTTTTCTATTTTGGCCACGTTTAACGACTTTCGGCACACTGTGCGGCGGTTTACTCGCCGGACCGCTGACTCGTTCAAGCCAGCGATTTCACACGGTGCTTTACCCTCTTGCCTTTCCGTTTCTTGCTACCGTCGCGTCACCACGCTCTTTCACGAACATTGCGCGCCGATGTAGGAAGGAATAATAATAATAATATAATATAGTAAAATAATATAATAAGAATAATAATAATAAGTATTTGTGAAAATTTATGTTTATGTTTTGTCCGAGTGTTTTGTCAATTGCAACTGCTTGTATTGCTCTCGTTATCGCTGTAGATCTTATTCGACGAAAATTTAACGGCACCTGCCAAGATGGTTGCCATCGTCGATATCAAATCAAAGCGACGTTCGCAGAACGCAGGCTATATCCGTGCAGGCTTGTTGTCGTTCAATGATGAGAATAGCGCTATTCCATATAAGATATGTAGGATAGAAGGAAGAAAATTTGAGAGAGGGGGAGAAAGAGAGAAAATTGGGATAGACTGAGAATATATTTATTAATTTGGCAAGCTTCCCAGCCATGTATCTCTCTCTCTCTCTCCCTCTCTCTCTCTCTCTCTCTCTCTCTCTCTCTCTCACTCTCTCTCTCTCTCTCTCTCTCTCTACCTACCCTTTACGTTACTACGTTATGACGCGAACAAAGCATCTCCGCGATTTCTTTATTGGCAATTCCGAGAGCCATATAAAATGTTGTAAATATTACAATTCATAAGAGCGCCGAATATTTTTCTATGCTGAAAACGAAAATTGTCCAAAGCCAAAGTGGAAATATCACTATAATGGTACATCGTAAGTGTGTAAGTAAAACCGTCGACTCTTTCATCGTCAGTCTCTCGTATTATTCCCTCTCTCTCTCTCTCTCTCTCTCTCTCTCTCTCTCTCTCTCTCTCTCTCTCTCTCTCTCTCTCTCTCTCTCTCTCTCTCTCTCTCTCTCTCTCTCTCCCTCTCTCATTATATTGTGATAGATTGCACGCAAAGAACGAATCGACGCGATGAAGGAAAAGATATTCTTATTTCGACGTATCGTAGCATCGTAGCTTTTATGCAAAGTATTTAGATGATTAATAGTGGTCCTCTTTAAATACACAAATAATTAGCAGCATACGAAGCATATGGACCGGCGAGAAGAGAGAGAGAGAGAGAGAGAGAGAGAATGTCTGTGTGTGTGTGTGGTGGTGGGTGGGTGGGTGTGTGGGTGGGTGTGGGTGTGAATGTGGGTATGGGTGTATGTGTGTTTTGCAATTGCGTTTAGACCTAGTTGGACCAACGAGCCGGCGAAGATGACACAGACAAACGAAAGGGTAGAAAATGTGTACCGCTAGTTTGCATAAATTTAGGAAATACAGGGTAGAAAATCGATATCCGCATAGAGATTATAGATGGTGGTTGGTAGGCGCCGCGTAGCCGCAGCCTCCGTCGCGACGGCGTATGCGCTACATGTCTACGTCCTCCCCAACACCATTTTCGACCGCCCCAAACCGGCCATCCCTCCTCTTTCGATTCATCCCCATTGCCCAAAAGTTCGTATGCACTCGTGTAGCGGATACTTCTCTCTCTCTCTCTCTCTCTCTCTCTCTCTCTCTCTCTCTCTCTCTCTCTCTCTCTCTCTCACTCTCTCTCTCTCTCTCTCTCTCACACTCTCACTCTCACTCTCTCTCTCTCTCACTCTCTCTCTCTCTCTCTCTCACTATCTCTCTCTCTCACTCTCTCACTCTCTCACTCTCTCACTCTCTCACTCTCTCACTCTCTCACTCTCTCATTCTCTCACTCACTCTCTCTCTCTCTCTCTCTCTCTCTCTCTCTCTCCTCTCTCTCTCTCTCTCTCTCTCTCTCTCTCTCTCTCTCTCTCTCTTCTCTCTTCTCTCTCTCTCTCTCTCTCTCTCTCTCTCTCTCTCTCTCTCTCTCTCTCACTCTCTCTTTCTCTCTCTCTCTCTCTCTCTCGTGGGTGTTAGTACCGCGCGTGCTCCTTCCTCTCGATTTTCGCGACCCTTCCGCTCCACCCGTGCCGACTCTTTCCCGATCCTCTCTATCTCTAGGCCCTTGCACCCTCCGTCGTCGGGGCTACACGTACACTTTTCGCATACGTATGCTATCCCTCCTTGCTACGAGCGACATGCCGGGAAGCGCCGGGAAGCGCCGTGAAGCGCCGGGAAACGCTGAGAAACGTCGGGAAATGCGACGCGCCGCAGCGCACTCCCACCCTTACTACTCTAGTTTACCCCCGTCTATCTCCACCCATTGCTCACATTCTCTTTCTTTTGCTCCGACTTCCTACCTCTTTTGCTCATACTACTCGCTTGTCTCGGTCTCGCAACCCTACACCCGAATTGAAGCGGGCTATATCGCACTGCGGTCTGTCTCGGAATTAAGAGAAAACGACAGTCTCGTCGCGAGCGTAGTCTGGCTCGCGTCTCTCTCTCTCTCTCTCTCTCTCTCTCTCTCTCTCTCTCTCTCTCTCTCTCTCTCTCTCTCTCTCTCTCTCTCTCTCTTCTCTCCTCTCTCTCTCTCTCTCTCTCTCTCTTCCCTCTCTCTCTCTCTCTCTCTCTCTGTCCTCTCTCTCCTCTCTCTCTCTCTCTCTCTCTCTCTCTCTCTCTCTCTCTCTCTCTCTCGTTGTTTTCCATCCGTGTACTTTCATCCCCCCTCTCCGTCACAACTCACACAGATCTCGAACGTATATTAAAATTTCGCGTCACACACACACATACGCGCGCTCGAAACGTGTGTACACGTCGCAACAA